ATAGAAAAAGACAATGAGGGACACTTCGTAATGATAAAAGGATTGATCCACCAAGAAGACATAACAATCATAAATATATACACACCCAATGTTGGAGCAGCCAGATTTATAAAACAAACTCTATTAGACCTAAAGAAGGAAATAAATACGAATACCTGAACACCCCACTGTCAATATTGGACAGATCATCTAGGCAAAGAATCAGCAGAGAAACACAAGATCTAAACAATACTCTAGACCAATTGGATATGGCAGATATCTACAGAACATTCCATCCAACAACCTCAGAATATTCATTCTTCTCATCAGCACATGGATCATTCTCCAGGATATATCACATATTAGGTCACAAATCAAGTCTCAACAAATTGAAAAAAATTGGAATTATCCCATGTATTTTCTCAGACCATAATGGATTAAAACTAGAAATCAATAACAAACGAAATTCTGGAAACTATACAAACACTTGGAAATTATTATTATTTATTTTTATTTTTATTTTTTTACTTTTTATAATTCTTAATCATCTAAAAGATAATTTTATTAAAGGTAGTAATAGTAACAAAGCATTGGGTGATTACATGGTATGGGTAAGTTAATGAATGACAGCAATGTCATAAGGGATGGGGTGGAATCTGGAATTCTCTATTATAGTCACCTATAGTAATATGAAGAATAGTATTATTTGAAGGTGGACTTCAATTAGTTACAAATTTGTGTTGTAAACTCTGGAGAGAGTATTAAAAATTTTAAAAGAAGTGCAATTGATAAGAGAGGAGATGAAATGGAGTTATATAGAAACACTAATATGAAACCACAGAAGACAGAAAAGAAAGCCTTGGGCAGTAAACAGAAAGGAGTTACAAACAATGCTGATTCAAAGACATCAATGATCACTTTAAATATTAATGATCTAAATACACTAATGAAAATGCAGAGATTGTCAGTGTGTATTAAAAAACAAGACTTGACTATGTATTGTCTAAAATAAAACCACTTTTGAAATAAAGACTTAGGTTAAAGGTAAAGGGATTGAGAGAGCTGTGCCATGCTAAAAAATCAAAAGAAAGCTGGAGTAGCTATATTAATTTCAGATTAGAAAGACTTTAGAGCAAAAAAAAAATTATTAGGAAAAGAGAGCATTACATAATTATAAAGAGGCCAATTTTTCAAGAAGACATACAAATCCTAAATGTGTATGCATCGGATAATAGAGCATCAATATACATGAGACAAAACTGATAGAATTGAAAGAGATAAACTAATTCACTACTATGTTTGGAGATGTTAAAATACTCTGTCACTAATTCATAGGTCAAACATGCAGAAAAGCAATAAAGATATATCCTATCTGGACAGCACAATCAATCAACTTGTTCTAATTGACGTTTATAGAATACCACATCCAACAACTGAAGAATACATATTTGACTCAAGATTGCATGGAACATTTATCAAGATAGACCACAATCTGGATCATAAAACATAACTTTAAAAATGTAAAAGAATTGAATTAATACCAATTATCCACAAATTCTTCCAAAAAGTTGGTGAGGGAGGAATATATCCAGACTCATTTTATGAGGACAGCATTTTTGATACCAAAGCCAGACAAAAAAACTCCAGGGAAACAAAACAAAGCAAAACAAACTATA